CCTTCAGTGAGACATTTATGGAGCACCTGTGTCAGATGCTAGGGTTGCAAGGTGAATAAGAAATCATCCCTGCTGTCCTACACCATACTGGCTGGTGGGGACCCAGATAACCGAAGTATAATTCCAGACACACCGAGAGGAAGGGCAGCCCAGGAGAGGCCAAGGGAAGTCTGAAGGACGAGCTCCCTGAACCAGCCTTGGACCAGGTGGGGCGCCCCAGGCCGGAGCTCAGCATGTACCAGGGCACAGGGGCAAGAGAACTCACAGGTTGGGTATTTCCACAGGGAGCCTCTTTGCTGCAAGCATTTTAACCACATAACTATTTGCTGCAAAGCCGTTTTTGCCATCAAAGATAAAATCACAAAATATAAAAGAGGGACATTCATTAAAGGGGACTTAACAAAGCATGAGAAATGAATAACAAAATCAGAAAGCTATTGTAAAACACAAAATAACTGAATACGTTTCAAATGTGTGGAGATTCATGCCAATTCTATGTAAATAACTGATTGTATTTCATGGATTGTACCTAAGTGTGTGTCCCCAAAGTCTTTTGTTAATAGAATTATATATATATTTTTTTGTCTGTTGATGGGTCTCCTCATTTTTTAAAAAAGATTTTTATTTATTTATTTGACAGAGTGAGAGAGGTAGAGAGAGCACGAGCAGGGGAAGTGACAGACAGAGAGAGAAGGAGACACAGGCTCCCTGCTGTGCAGAGAGCCTGAGGTGGGGCTTGATCCTAGGACGCTAGCCAGCATCAGGGCCTGAGCTGGAGAAGGAAGACACTTAACCGGCTAAGCCACCCAGGTCCCCCTCCTCATTCTTTTTTTAACTAAAGTTTCTTCCTCAGGAAGAGAGGTAGAGTCCTGGAGCAGCTGGCTGCCTCAGTCGGTGTGGAGCTTACAACTCTTGATCTCACGGTCATGAGTTCAAGCTCCACATTAGGAGTAGAGATGACTTAAAAATAAAATCTTGGGGCACCTGGGTGGCTCAGTGGGGTAGTGGCTCAGTCGTTAAGCGTCTGCCTTTGGCTCAGGTCATGATCCCGGGGTCCTGGGATCAAGCCCCATGTCGGGCTCCCTGCTCAGCAGGGAGACTTCTTCCTCCTCTCCCACTACCCCCTGCTCCGCCTCTCTCACTGTGTCTCTCTCTGTCAAATAAATAAATAAAATATTTTAAAAATGAATAAATAAAATCTTAAAAATAAAAAAAATAAAATAAAAATAAAAGAGAGGTAGTGTTTCCAAATACTAGGATGCGTATTTGTATCAGAACTCACATCGAGAAGGCGAATTGCCTCCTACACTGTTGTTTGTTCTGGCCAATTGTCACAGGCCCATTGGTAGGTGTTCCCAAGTTCTGTGGGAATTGTGGGTTCAAAACTCTGCACCACTGTACAGACCATCATGAGGGCCAAGATTTATGTAATATAAAAATGGAGGAGTGCCTGGGTGGCTTAGTGGGGCAAGCCTCTGCCTTCAGCTCAAGTCATGGTCTCAGGGTCCTGGGATCGAGCCCCACATCAGGCTCTCTGCTCAGCAGGGAGCCTGCTTCCCCTCTCCCTCTGTCTGCCTCTCTGCCTACTTGTGATCTCTGTCTGTCAAATAAATAAATAAAATCTTAAAAAAATATATGGAGCCTGTGTCAATGGAGAAATGAAACCAAACTCAACCAGTTGATAAAACCAACAAACTGCCAACCCGTTACTTAGTCTTTCACGGCAAGGTTGCCTTACGGCCTATTAGTTACGCAGCGAAAATGCTTACAGCAAAGATATTCATGGCAAAACCACCTAGAACCGGGAAATCAGTGCATTCTGGGCATGTGCAGTTACAGGAACTGGACTGTGGGGCCTGAAGGTGCGGGTGGGCCAGGTAGAAGGGGCCAGATAAGAGGGCCTTGCCTGGGGTACTGACAAGCTGGACCTGTCTGAGGGTATTTGGAGGGGGGTGACAGGATGACACCTGAGCTTTAGAAAGATCACTGTGGGCTGGAGGGAGAGACTGGAGGCCTGTAAACATCCTGGACCACGGTTCAGTGATAGCTCAGGAGGCCTGTGCTAGGGCAGGCATGGAGGGACTGGGGGAAGGAGTAGACTTGAGAATATTTAGCGGACGAGAAAGGACTTGCTTTCTGGGGTGATGAAAATGTTCTGGAACTAGACAGTGGAGATGTTTGTACGGCATTATGAATGTACTGTTATTAGTAGCAAAATTTGTTATATGTAGATCAGCACAATAAAGAAAAGACTTGTGGGATTGGATGTGAGGGTTGAGGCAAAGAAAGGAAGTTTCCTGGATCAGGCACCCAGGAGGGACTGGGTGCTGTCCACTGAAGCAGAGAACACCAGAAAAAGATAAAGGACGGGATAAGATCCCAGTCGTGCCACTGGGTTTGAGGGGCCCAAGGGATGGCTAGGAGATGTCGGCCACTGGCTCCTCTCTGGAGCCGGATGCTCAGCGAAGAGGACCAGGGCAAGGATGTAGACATGTGGAGGGATGTGTTGAACTTCAGAACCACAGAGACTGCAGAGACCAGGGAAAGGCATTCAGACCCTGGGAAAGTCCAAGTCTCCCCTGGATTAAGGGGAAGAAGGTTTGTCAGAGGGGTAGGAGAACACCAAGGAAGAGAGTCTAGAAGCTCAAGGAAGGAGGCTTTGTGCACAGGCAGCACAGGGGTGCAGAAGACTAAGGGCTGAGAGTATTCATGGCATTTGTTATTACAAGGTCCTTGATGACCCTTCAGTGAGAGGATTCCGGTGCCAGGGAGATGTGGGGACCAAGCACTAAGGCCAGAGTACTAAGTGAGAGCAGACTGAGAGCTAGGGTTGCAGAGACAGGGGCCGTAAACCAGTCTGGAGGGAGGTGGCTTGTTTGTGATTTTTCTTGTTCCTAAAAGAACAAGAGCTACCAATTGTGTCTGTAGAACGAGGAGAAAGAGCCAGAAGAGGGTGGGGGATAGAGATACTAAGAGTAGGGTGGGAGCTGAATAAATGGCAGAGCGAGATTGGGGTAGGAGTGCTGTGAGTGATGGGCTCAGAGCCCAGATGGACAGGCTGCCCCCCCACACACAACGTCAGCCACGAGGGGCGACAGGGCTGAAGCCGGGAGGGAAGCCGGGAGGATGGGTGGGGAGGAAGATAAGCCCGGAGCTGGGGCAGGGCGGGAAGCAGAGGGAGTTCCCTCCAGACTGCAGTGTTTTCTACATGAAGATGAAGCTGAGGTCATCTCCTAAGGCGGGAGGGCTGGGATGGGGGTGGGGGAGCCTGGGATAAACGGAACAGAAAGGGCCAAGGCTGACCAAGGACCTCAACCACAGAGCCCGCAATGTGGTGTAATTGGACGGGTCATGCATGTCCCATGTGACATCAGCGTGACGGCAGGAACGGGAGAGCTTGTCCTGGCCCCCACGCTGCTGACACCCACTTGACCACACACAAGCCCCTCATGGCTTCTGCGCCTTGGTTTCCTCAAGTGTAAAACAAGGTGGAGGATGGAGGCCTGAGGAAGCAGTGGGAGAGTCTCCCTGCTCCAGTGCTCCAAGTCCTGCAGTTCTGAGGTCGTCCCTGAACAGACCAAAGGCCTTTCTCCAGGAACCCTGGGAAGGGAGCCATTGACTTCCATGTGAGGTGGGGAAGGTGGGAGAGACTGGAGACTGGAGGTCCTGGGGAGCAGAAAGCCAGCAGCCTGCACGCTTGCAGGGCGTGGTGCGGATGAGAGTGGGGTATGTGGGCAGTAGCGGACAGATGGGGGGTACGCGGGTGGTGGGGGGCTGGCGCAGGGGCTATGACTGTGAAGGAGGGCTAGGACCAGACAGTAGACTATCATTAGTCACCGCCTGCCGTGAAGCTGAGTCACCTCCTCTTAGCTCATCTTATCCTCAAACTGACTCTACGGGATCAATTCTCGTATCATCCCCATTTTACAGATTGGGAAAAAGGCTCAAAGAGGCCAGGTGAAAGCGGCTTTAAAGATCTGAGCTGGGCTTCTGGTTCCAGACAGAGAGCCATATTTCAGACAGCAGAAGTTCTAGCGCCCACGCCCGGCTAACTAGCTCTGGCTTGGTCCGGTTGGTTATTTCTCTGAGGATAGAGGCCTTATTGGTTCATTAGGATGGTAGGAACATAATGGATACCCTGCCTCCTCGGTTATTGTGGGGGTCAAATGCCAGCCAAAGCACATGTGACTGCGGCAGGAGACCCGCAAACTGGCTTTGCTGGTAGCTGTGCTAGCCTTCCCAATCCTAGAGCCACTCACTGCTCAGAGCCTGGGCTCAGCCAACCAGCCTCATGCACATATATCATTGCCGAAGAGCTGTACAACCATCCCCCGTTCTTTGTGGAATGAAGTGACCGTGCTGGTAAGGGGGTCCTGTTCTGTGGGTTCTCCCTCCATTTAGACCCTGACGCAGCTGAGCATCTTAAAGATTCAAAACTAGCTCTAAAATGGATGATAAACCAAATTTTAAAGCTGGGCAGAAGCCCCCTCCCTGGGCATGAGTGCAAAATATTACAGATAGAATCTTAGCTTCCCAGGTCAGTGAGGAATGAAATCCAATATCTGTTTTAGATCATTTAGAAGAAAAAGCCATAACAACAAATTATGTTCTGTCCTCATGAATCTAACAAATTAATTATGTCTCATTTGTGATGAAAAACAATCGGGGATGGGGAGACTACATTTATGGTAAAAATGACAAGAAATAAAATGCGAAATCACTCCTTTTTCTTTTTATCAGCTTCCAATCCAAACAAATAGCAATTCACTCATTTCTAGGGGAAAAAATGTATGCGACTTCTAGAACATGCTGATTAGACCTTGGCTTAGAACGAGGGTTTTCTTCTAAAAGCCTTCTAGAAATGCCAGAGGGGAATACACGTTAGCTGTCGACTGGAATATTTTTCTCAGTTTTTATACCCACTAAACCCAAGCAATTTGATGTGAGTTTTAAGAATCATGAAAGACACAGCAAAGCTAGATAGAAACTTAACAACTTACAGTTTTCTTGTCCCTCAAGGCTTGGACCTGGAAAAGACAGAAGAAATATGTTGATTTCATCAGCTTCAAGTTTCATGAACTTTAAGTAATGTGGGAAGAGGATAAAAACTCACACAGCAGAAGCATGAGCAGGACTCCTAGCCACATCTTGCCTTCTTGGGCCCACTCCAGGTGCATCTTGACAGCCAAGACCTCAGGCAGTTAGTTCTGCCTTTGGGCCATGCCCCTGGGGCAGAAGACGCTTCCCACGTGGCCCAGATAAATCTGCCCTGAGAAAGCAGAGAAACCACTCTGGTAACTTCTGGCGGCCGCAGAGAGACTGGCTGTCGTGCTGGTCAGGTAATGGCAGCCATTGCTGGAAACTGGAAACAATGAAGCATGGGCCCGCCTGATATCTCCTCAGGAAATGACTGGCCTTCCTGAGGGGCCACTGAACGCAGACTCTTTGTTTTAAAGGCACAAGTGACATTTGCCTCTGGTGCCCCTGACCCTCCTGTCTCACCTGGGTTTGGAGCCCCTTTCATGGCAGCGTGAGAGGGTTCTTCCCTCTTTCCGATCTCTACCCAAAGGGCTTCTCTCTTTGGACACTCAACAAGATCGCTCCATCTTTCCTGAGTGCATCTCCCCCACCCCCGCTGCCCAGGGGCCTCTTTCCACACAGCATGAGTTTGGACCTCTCGCCTTTCCTGGCAATGCTATGGGACAGGGCTGACTTTTCCAGAAAGTTGCAGGTTCACCAGACAGACCAGCTGCCTTGTGGCAAACTCTGCTTGGAACCTAGTGTACCTAGGAGGCTCTCCCTGGCTCCTGCACTTGGTTTCAGGGTGGATAAAAGCAGCTCTGTGAGATATGCATGTTTTCTGGTCACTCCCTCCAGCCTGAACCTTTATTTTACTTTTTATTTCTTAAGTAGGCTCCATGCTGAATGTGGGGCTTGAACTCACGAACCTGGGAACAAGAGTCACATGTTCTACTGACCGAGCCAACCAGGCACCCCCAGCCTGTACCTTTAAATATGCACAGAGTGTATCAGGCCACAGAGAGCCTTCGGAGATATAAATCAGTTCCTTTCACTCCCGGGCTTGAAACCTTATGATGGCTCCGCATTGCCCTCCAGAGAGAGTCGGTTTACAATCCTCCACAACCCAGCCCTTGCTTACCTCTCCAGCCAAGGCGCTCACCAATTCTTTCTTGGCCCCCATATTCTGATTGCTAGAATTTATAGTTCCCAGGACACATCACGTGTCTGCGCCTTTGTCTTTGCTGTTCCACTGCCTGGAGGACTCTTCCCGCTCTGATTTTCTGGTGTGTTCCCACCCACGCATCGTAACTCAGTTCAGGCATCCACTCTTGCAGAATTGTCTCCTGTCTCCCCCACACTGAGCTGCCCTTCCTCTGGATTCCTCACCTCCCTAGTCTTCCCTCTGTGAGACACTTTCTATAGTGTGCCATAATGGCCTGTCCTCCCCCAAGGGAACTGCTGGCTGCATGAAGACAGGGACAGTGCCTGGTACCTAGTAGGGGATCAAAAAACATTAGTAGAGGGGCGCCTAGGTGACACTTTGGTGATTTTGGCTCAGGTCATGGTCTCAGGGTCGTGAGATGGAAACCCATCCCCTCCCAACCCCCACACCCTTCCCATTGGCTGGAGCTGGGAGTGGAACCTGCTTGAGATCCTTTCCCCAGCTCGTCCTCCACCCCTCCCCCACCAGGGAGTCCATACACACACACTTTCTCTCTCTCAGAAAAACAATAACAGAAACAAAAATACATTAGTAGAGTCAGTGATTGGGTGAATGAAGATAGGTTAACGGTACTGTCTGAATTAGATTACTGCTCTGAGGTCAGAGAGCAGTGTTGTTTCTGAAATGCTACCCTCTGAGCCTGCACCCGGTAAAGCTAAGTCAGGGACAAATAGAAACCAAAGAAAACCAAAGACTTCTATTCTCTAGAAAACAACTTCTCTCTCTGTTCTATGGTTCAGTGGAAGTTATGAGAAGAGATATTAAAGAGTCATGCAGCATAAAGGAATGTTTTCTATTGTGTCATTTACTTTTGGTGTTTGGTATTGTCTACTCCTCACTGTAAACTCTCTTCTTCAGCAACTTACTGGAAATCACCCCCACCCACCCACCAAATTTCTATTTGTGGAGAAAAAAAGAAACACCATGAGTCCTAAAATAGATGTTGGCTTCAAAGATAACTTTCGCTTATGGCAGACTAACCAACCTTTGCTTCTCAAAGTGACTTTCAATCAAGGGTGGTTAATACCCCACCCCATGTCCCCTAAGTCCCAAAGTAAACTTCTAGGACTTAGTCATTGTTTCGTACACAATGCTAATAGTTTTAGAACACCATGAGAAAATAAAACTTCATTTCAAAATAAGTGTTAATAACTTAAAAGAAAAGCTGAAGAAAAACTGTATCCCGCCACTCACACCATGCACCAGAATAAATTCCAAATGGACCAACCATTTGAAAGGACAAACGAAGCCATAGGAGTTCTAAAAGAAAACATGAAAGAATTCCTCATGACCCTGGAATGGCGAAGTCTGGTTTAACTCTGACTTAAAATCCAGAAATTATAAAAGACTGACAAATTATACTCCATGAAAAAAGTTCTCCTCATCACCCTCCCCTCAAAAAAAAAGTTCAGTCAAGAGAAAAAAAAATACAAACTGGAAAAAATATTTGCAATTTACATCATAGACAAAGAACTAACCTCTCTAACACGTAAATTAATACGTAACCTCTCTAATAGCTACCCCATAGCCACCATCCCTCATTGCAAACACTTACCTGCTTTCCATCCTTATAGGTAAAGTTTTTATCCCTAGAATTTTATAAAAATGGAATTATACAGTACTTAGCTGGGTGGGGCATCTATCTTCTTCCAGTCAGCATCGTCAAATATTAATTTCTTTTTATTGCTGAGTGGTATTTCATTGCATGAATATATCACAGTTTGCTTATCATTGTTTATTAATGAACATTTGGGTAGTTTCTAATTTTGAGCTAATAGAGACAACTGCTTGGACCACGCCCTTGTATGGACATACACTTTCATTTCTCTTGGGTAAATACCCAGGAGGAGAATGCCTGGATGGTGTGGTAGGTGTATGTCTAACATTTCAAGAAACTGCCAGGCTGTTTTCCAAAGTGGCTACACCATCTTACCGTCCCGCCCGCGATGTGTGAGAGTTCCAGTGGCTCCACACGTTACCAGCTCGTTACTATTTTGGGTCCTGGGGCTATCCAAGCAACAGAGAACCCAAACTGAAAGTTCCAGACAAGGCTTTTACTGGGGCTTATGTTAGAGCTTGAGGGAGACAGCAGAAAGGGAAGGGTCCCTCGTGCTATTTCTCTGAGCAAAGGTCAGGGAAAGATTGCAAAGAGGCTGGGAGAGGAAAGGGTTGGCTGGAGCAGGTAAAGATGGGGAGAGAAGGCAGGAAGTGGGGAGCATTAGTGCGATGGACAGGACGTGCTTTATCATGCATCACTCGTCTCATGGGCCTGTTAAATCTGTCCACCCAGGGCTGGATTTTTAGTACTTTGATGAGGGGGAGAGTCGGTGACAGGTCAGTGCTGGGGCCCACCTTAGAGCATACTGGTTCGGCTCAGTCTTCACCAGTCTAGGTAGTGGAGTCCCTCCTCTGGTGAGCAGCCCAAGTCCACATTCCTGCAGGATTCGCACAGAGATTCAGCCCTCAGGGGATGCCAGAGGGGCGCCTGGGTGGCTTAGTCGGTTAAGCAGCTGCCTTCACTCAGGTCATGATCCTGGGGTCCTGGGACTGAGTCTCGCATCTGGCTCTTTGCTCAGCAGGGAGTGTGCTGCTCCCCCTGCTTGTGCTCTCCCTTGCTCTCTAACAAATAAATAAACAAGATCTTTAAAAAAAAAAAAAAAAAGGGGAACCCTGGGCTTCTGCGGTCTGGGTTGAGAGCGCTGGAGTCCTGTCCCTTCCTCTGTCTCAATTTGAAGTTCCCTTATGAATTTTAAAATCAACTTCTCAATTCCTACCCCAAAATAAGCCTACTGAGATTTCGACTGGAATTGCATTGAATCTGCCGACCAATCTGGGGAGAAGTGACATTTTAGCTTGACCAAGAGTCTTCTAGCCCAGGGACACGGCATCTGTCTCCATAAACAGCAATGTTCTATAGTTTTCAGTGTACTTTTCCTTATAATAAACCTTGTGTCTCTTTTATGTCATTTTAAAGTATTACCTACTAAAAATCAAATTAGGAAGTTAAATTCTAAAAAGCTGCACCCTCGGTGTTAGAAATCAGTAGGAATGTCTGTCATATCCACCCCACACTCCAGGAGCCAAGTCAACATAAGACTGAGCCTTCACGGGACAGCATCCCCCCAACTCTCTGTAGGTCTGTCTCCCCCTCTCTCCGGGAACCCCTCTTTCTAGCTTTCTTCCCCCTCTCTTACTCCCGGCCGTGATGTAAGAACGGAAGTGTATATTCTGCTTCATTTATTTTATTCACTGAAAAGATGATCAGGCTCCTCATTCTTTGTGAAGTATGAATGTCTTATTAAAAATAAAAAATGTGGGGCACCTGGGTGGCTCAGTGGGTTAAAGCCTCTGCCTTCAGCTCGGGTCATGATCTCAGCATCCTGAGATAGAGTCCCACATCAGGCTCTCTGCTCGGTGGAGAGCCTACTTTCCCTTCTCTCTCTGCCTGCTGCTCTGCCTACTTGTGATCTCTCCCTCTCTGTCAAATAAATAAATAAAATCTTTTTTAAAAAAATTCTTTTAAAAATTTAAATTTGGCTCAAATGGTTAAGCATCTGCCTTCGACTCCCGTCGTGTCTAGGGCCATACCACCCTGAACGTGCCCGATCTCGTCTGATCTCGGAAGATAAGCAGGGTCGGGCCTGGTTAGTACTTGGATGGGAGACTCCCATCGTGATCCCAGGGTCCTGGGATCGAGCCCCACATCGGACTCCCTGCTCAGCAGGAGATCTGCTTCTCCCTTGTATTAACATATATCTTAATAAAGAAATATTTTAATATAAGGCCACATCTTATATTATCCTGCATATGTGTATATATATGAAATGTCCAAAATGGGCAAATCTCTGGAGACGGAAGTAGATAAGTAGTTTCCGAGGGCCAGGGAGTTGAAGAAAATCAGAGTGACTGCTAATGGGTAGGGAGTGTCTTTGTAGGGGTGCTTAAAAGCTTCCAGAAGTTGGGGAGCCCGGGTGGCATAGTCAGTTGAGTGGCTGATTCCTGGCTTCAGCTTAGGTCATGATCTCAGGGTCTTGGGATTAAGGCCTGAGTCTGGCTCAGGACTCAGCAGGGAGTCTGCTTGAGACCCTCTCTCTCCCTGTCCCTCCGCCCCTCCCACTTGTGCATGCTCGCTCTCTCTCTCTCAAATAAATAAATTAATCTTTTTTAAAAAAGGCACTGAAAAACACTTCTAAAAATTGAGTGTGATGACAGTTGCACAATTCTGACAGTAGACTAAAGACCATTGAATTGTACACTTTATTTTTTTATTTATTTTTTTAAAATATTTTATTTATTTATTTGACAGAGAGAGATCACAAGTAGGCAGAGAGGCAGACAGAGAGAGAGAGAGAGAGAGAGGAGAAAGCAGGCTCCCCGCCAAGCAGAGAGCCCGATGCAGGACTCGATCCC